ATATATATAAGTAGACAATAAATGGTATTTGTGTGTGCAGGTGTAATATGTACAAATGCAAGGAAATGTAAAAAGAGGTGTGTGTGTTAAATAAATAAATGTATAAATAGTGTTATGTATTACATGTTTATTGTCAAGTCAGCTGTTCATGAGATGGATTGCCTGAGGAAAGAAACTAATGTTCTAATGCTTTGCCATTCTGGTGCTCAGTGCTCTGTAGTGCCAACCAGACAGCAACAGTTTAAAGAGGAAGTGGGCTGGGTGTGAGGGGTCCAGAATGATTTTGCCAGCTCTTTTACTCACTCTGGATGAGTGCAGTTGTTGGAGAGTGGGGGGGTGTTGTACCAGTGATTCGCTCAGCAGTCCGGACTGTCCGCTGCAATCTTCTGAGGTCTGATTTGGTAGCTGAGCTGGACCAGACAGTTATAGAAGTGCAGAGGACGGATTCAATGACTGCAGAGTAGAACTGTATCAACAGCTCCTGTGGCAGGTTGAACTTCCTCAGCTGGTGAAGGAAGTACAGCCTCTGCTGGGACTTCTTGACAATGGAGTCTATGTGGAACTCCCACTTCAGTTCCTGAGAGATGGTGGTGCCCAGGAACTTGAATGACTGTCCATGATGGTGAGTGGGAAGAGTGCAGGGGGTTCAGAGAGCTCAGTTAATTTGGACAGGAGGAGGTTTGGGATGATAGTGTTGAAGGCCGAGCTGAAGTCCACAAACAGAATCCTTATATAAGTCCCTGGTCTGACCAGATGTTGTAGGATATAATGCAGTCCCATGTTGACTGCATCATCAACAGACCTGTTTTCTCGGTAAGCAAACTGCAGGGGGTCCAGCAAGGGTTCAGTGATGTCCTTCAGGTGGGCCAGCGCCAGTCTTTCAAATGACTTCATGACCACAGATATTAAAGCCACTGATCTATAATCATTTAGTCCTGTAATTTTGGGTTTCTTTGGGATGGGGATGATGGTGGAGAGTTTGAAGCAGGAAGGGACTTTGCACAGCTCCAGTGATCTGTTGAAGATCCGTGTGAAGATGGGGGCCAGCTGCTCAGCACAGGTTTTTAGATAGGCTGGTGTAACACCATCTGGGCCTGGTGCTTTCTTTCGCTTCTGTTTCAGGAAGACCTGCCACACATCTTTTTCACAGAGGTGAAAGTGCAGTGAAGTGCAGGAGGGGCGGAGAGGGGGGTTGCTGCTGGTGGTAATAGATCCATGGAGAGAAGGTCAGAATGGGTGTGAGACAGGGTTTTTCAAACCTGCAATAAACTCATTCAAATCGTAGGCCAGTTGTTGATTCTCCACAGTGCTGGGGGATGGTGTCTTGTAGTTGGGTGATATGTTTCAGTCCTTTCCACACTGATGCAAGGTCACTGGCAGAAAACTGGTTTCACAGCTTTTCGGAGTAGTTCCTCTTAGCCACTCTGATCACCTTTATCAGTGTTTTTGGCCTGTTTATACAAGACTCTGTCCCTATTCCTGTAGGCATCTTCTTTGGCCTGACGGACCTGTCTGAGTTTTGCAGTGAACCATGGTTTGTCGTTGTTGTAAGTTAAATGAGTCCTGGTAGGGATGCCCATTATGTATGATGTATGATGTTACAGTCTTTGCAAGCTCGTCCAGATCGGTGGCAGCAGCCTCAAAAACACTCCAATGCAGTCGTAAAGTTTGTAAATCCCGCTCTGCTTTATTAGTCCATATTTTTACAGTCCTTATTACAGGTTTAGCTGATTTCAGTTTCTGCCTGTAGGTCGGAATATTGATATGGACATCCATTAGAACAAATGTTCTTCATTTCCATTCTCTTGACAGTCTGCATAGTTACTAATGAGTCCCAGAAGGACTTTTTTCACCCATGGGATGCAAATGCTTAACAGCTTGAGCAAAGGGGATTCAACTGAACTGAAACCACTCGCTGCATAATGAGTGGTCTTCTGGGACTGGGAGTGTGAGTCATGCTACATAACCAACTCAAGTACTTGTAAATAAAAGAGTTTCTGACCCTCAATTTTTTAGATTAAAAAACATCATATTGTTCTGAACATCATATTGCTCTGTGTTGTTATCGTTCTAGTTGTGGTATGGACTTTGCCATTCTCTTAGAGTTAAAGGGGTGCTATTATGCTTTTCACTTTTTCAACTTTAGTTAGTCTGTAATGTTGCATAAAAAAAGATCTGCAAAGTTACAAAGCTCAAAGTCCACTTCAAAAGGAGATATTTTATTTAACAGAAATCACTTTTCAAAAACTACAACAAACGACTCATTTGGACAACGCATATTTTCTGGGATTTGTGATATCACAAATACAGACGAATGGGACGAGACCTGGTTGAGCTGCAATAGAGAAGGCAACGAGTGATAATTCCCAAGGCAGACGAATTTAGAGTGGTTACAATCATCCGGGATTAAATAGCGCTCAAATTGATTTGATATTGATGCAATATTTACACTGAAGCTCGCAGGCGGCTATGGTAAGGGGCATGACATTTCCCGACCAGTCGCCGAGTGCTGCCAATCACAACACACACTGGCCCAGCTAACCAATCACAACACACACTGGCCCAGCTAACCAATCACAACACACACTGGCCCAGCTAACCAATCACAACACACACTGGCCCAGCTAACCAATCACAACACACACTGGCCCAGCTAACCAATCACAACACACACTGGCCCAGCTAACCAATCACAACACACACTGGCCCAGCTAACCAATCACAACACACACTGGCCCAGCTAACCAATCACAACACACACTGGCCCAGCTAACCAATCACAACACACACTGGCCCAGCTAACCAATCACAGCACACACCGGCCCAGCTAACCAATCACAGCACACACCGGCCCAGCTAACCAATCACAGCACACACCGGCCCAGCTAACCAATCACAGCACACACCGGCCCAGCTAACCAATCACAGCACACACCGGCCCAACAAACCAATCACAGCACACACTGGCCCAGCTAACCAATCACAGCACATTTCGTATTTCAGAAGGCGGGCCTTCATTTGATACAGGAACTATTCGAGCCGTTCATGCCAGACTGGGGAGAGAGGTGTTGTAATAATGTAAAATATGTGAAAAATAATGTGTTTCTCGAACAACCTAGTATGAGAGCCTGTTCTAGTACACCCCCAAAACAAAATCAAGACTTTGCAAAAGAGCATAATAGGACCCCTTTAAAAATCAGTATAGATTCTGAGATTCAGCCATGCTAAATTTGTAGTCTAAATTAGCGTTAGCATAAGCAAAATAGTGGTAAAATTAAATCTGGGTTAGTTCTCAGTTAGATTTTGCTATAGCTTGAACATTGACATGCTTCAACCAATATGGAAAAAGCCAATTCCCAAAAAAAAAAAAAAAAAA